AATTTTTAGCAGTTGATCATTACTTATTATAAATCGACTGTTATTTATTATAGTTTACTTTTTTCCGTGTAGCCGAGCTGGAGTGGCAGCTTTGAAAATTTCAAATATTTATAATTTATTTTTCATTAACTCGTAACTAATTTTTCCATACTAAAATACAATGATATAAGACAGCGAAGTAACATAATTTTCAGTATTACTACGATTGTGTCTTTAAATACCACACGGTGTAGTAAAAAAATTTTAAGATGGCATTAATGTTTTTTTCTCCACTGAATTTACTTCAAAATGGAGTCAATCGTACTTACAATGTAGTATTATATCGTTTACGACAAAAATAGTATAGATACAAATAAATATAAATTTGTGTAGTAACAGGAACAACAGAAGTTGTTTATTGTACACCAATCATAAGTTATCGTACTACATATTTAAACTTTATCATGGTAGTAAATAGGAGTACTGCTGGGGCTGAATACTCGAAGTGTCACTTATGCTGGTACATATGTTGATGCTATAACCTCAAATTGTACTTAAAATTTAACTAGTCTAGTGTTGTAAACGTTTACACCGCTTTTTTTGTGTACATAACAATAAAAAATAAAAATGAATGTAAATTTTCACGGTGCAGTATATCCTAACTGTGCTTATAGTTGCTTATAGTATAATAGTAATAATATTGTTTAGAATATATAATGCATGCATGAAGGGTGTGCAGTGGATATTGGGTAGCGTGGAGACTAGCATACTGAATACTGCATTTTCCTCACAATTTATATCCATTATTTCCTGAATACCGGGAGAAAGCATTAATACGGATGTACAATGGAAAACAATAAGCGGTGTACAGGGATACCACAATGCACTTTAACTTTAACTTCTGGCCCTTTCCCCTCTATATCCCCGATTTTCTCGGACCAATGCCGCCTACCGCCTTATTACCATTATTGTTGTTAAATAATTTAAGTACTTTATATACAAAACATTTAATCTATTGTTGACGAAGAAAACTTTCATAGCAGAGGTCTCAGTCTTTTGTTATTGACTCGACAAAGAGAAGTTTGTTTGATCTTTGACTGAAAAATCCAACAGGAGAAGAGGAGCTGAAAAAGAGTTAGGAACAAGTTTAGATACAGAAGAAGAGGGAAAAAGAGAAGCAAAACGAGATGAAAATTAAAGTTTATCCAAAGTTTTATTTATCCTCAGATGTATCGGTGAGTTATGTGGCGCAGCTGGACATCGTGAAATCGGGGATGCTGGCGCTGGAAAATGACGCACTGGTGAGCTTGTCGGGAATCGAGGCGCTTGGGCTCATGAGCAATCGTCTGGCCACCGTCGGGGAGAAGTCTCTCGTGTGAGTGTTTGCACTACTTGCTCATATGTATGTAATACTGTTTTAGGAGCTACGTTATAGTAATAGTTATAGTAATAGTATTATATGGAGTATGGAGAATGGAGTTCTACTACTTCGACCTTTACTCTTTACTTGCCTCTCCAATCTTCATCGATTTGGGTTATATATGTATATGTATAGAGTTACTGCACTTGTACTTTTATTTCATTTTTTTGCTTCCCCGTTTTTTATTTTAGAGTTTTGTTGATCGCGACCCGGTGTATTTTACGCCCACGGAAATTGTCTTTCATCGATTACTTGAGCTCTCGGTCTCACTC